GACAGCTGCAGTTGCGGGTCAATACGCAGTACGCATAACAATAATACCCGAAACCCGAATTCCAAGATAAACACCATTTAGCGGTGGTTAGCGCGATGATGTGAGATTAAAGTGGACTTCCCCACAGCTCAGTCATACAACGATAATTATAGACTTATGCTAGATTTAAATAAAAATATCAGTATTATAGTATTTATTTACTTTTATTTGTATGTATGTATATACAATGTACATGTATAATAATTTAATAGAAATATTTTTCATCGGCCCATTTTCGTCAATATAAGCAGCGGCCCACCGGGAAAATCCCGGTGTCCCGGTGGCCCTATCCGCCCCTGCATACATGTAATCAGCTGGTACCGGGTTCGCTGATTAAAAACGGCTGCAACCGTTATGACGAGTTATTTTGGCATATAATATATATTTTGGAAAAAATGATTTAAATGTTAGTACCTATCTACCTAAGCTTTGCATATTAAATATTGGATAGGTTAAATGGAATAAGTTAAGTACACGATTGGTACAGATTGTTTGATGAATAAATACCTATTAAATTAAATCTAATCTGGTCTGTGACGTGAGTTTGACTCTTTGATTGTTTTGTTATTTACGATTTACCTGTTATTACATTAAATACGATTATTTACTACCTACTATAGGTATATGACCTTAGACTTTGAGAATCTATTTTTTTTTAAATCAGTTAAATTATGTAATATTTCATTGTTTCATGATCGTTAAATGGCTTATTCTTAACATTGTATTAGTTCACACGCATAGGTAAATGCGTCAAACATCAATATTGTTATTTGTTTCGGCTTGTAGACATTTGATTACCTAATAATAATATTTTAGCCGCAGTCAATTATAGTAATACGATAACAGTCTCGTACAATATTGGTCGTTGGACGTTGATACAGGCCCGAAAAGGTTTTGCGGTTAGCATAATACTCATCACAGGAATAAAATACAAATTAAAACCCTAGAAATTTAGTCAGTAGATGGCTTATTTCCACTAAACTTTTAAACAACAGTGGATCAATATTAACAAATATTTTTACAGAATAAGCAATAACTTTTCATATGAATAATAAATACGGGTATTGATATTTGATGTTGTTGTGCAAGTATATATTATATTATATACTTGCATCGGTATATTTAATTATCACTAATAATCAACAATAAATTAAGATTTTAATTAATAGTAAGCCGGTCTATTATTAAAGAGTAAATAATAAAATTATATTACCGTAATTAAGACAGTTAGATACCTAAATGTGAGTGCAATCTTTCTGGGTAAACTAAAATAATGAAACTACAAAAATATTTTTGTATATTATCATCATTCATTTTTATACTCTATGTTGTACTTACGATATTCAAGAATATAATATGTGTAAAGTATTTAAAATAATCACTGTAAAATACTAAAATAATATTAGTGTACTATACTTAGTGTATCTTGATTCATATTTTATTTTCAATGTAAAACACACTTTTCTTTGGTTTTTAGTTTAAAAATCTAGAAGAGAATTTATACTTAAGTATTCAACAAGAATATTGAATCCTAGATGATGTATAATATTTGAAAAAATATGATTTACATATTTTAAATTAATGACAAATATAATATAATAGGTAGGTAAATGTAATTATTTATCTACGTATACTGTTCAGTGTTCATACATATTTTGTTGTACTACTGCGTGTATACTACGGCTTGTTTGTCCCTCGTGTATGATAATAAACAATTCAATACTTTATATTAAATGTTTTAGGACCCAAGTACCCATTACTGCTACCTACTAAAAAAGTAGAAATTTATTGATATTATTGACATTCAGCTGGGAATATAATATTATTGGTGTTTGTACTGTGTACCTACAGGGTGAGGTGTATATAGGTGCATATTTTACATAATGTAACATTATCATTTATATACGCGTTATCTCTCCATTTCAGATAGCTATACGGTATTGAAATACGTTTAAATTAATTAATGACCGGCTAATGCACACACTACCCAAGGCAAAGTGCAAACCAAAATGCCACCTCTTCAACAATATAATTCTACGCCGGGCTCGAGATGCGCTCCACAACGACGATTGTGTACGCGCAGTTTTGAACTTGACACGCTCTCGGGAACACAGTTTTTATAGCGACGATTACCACTTACGCCTAATAAGGCTTACTCAGCTGCTAAGTCTTGTCAGATCCGATTCTGCTCATATCGACGACGACGACGACGACGACGACGACCACCACCACGACGACTACGAGACACGTTTCGTTTCGCAAAGGTCGTGTAATTTTAAGGTAATTCCTTTGGTTTTCCGATCGAATGTTAGCGTTGCATCATCGAAATTTCATTATTGCAGATTCCGACGATGAAGCTGAAGGACGTGGAATTCGCTCCCCTGTGTGTGCCATTCAGGCGGAGGCTTGAGACGCTCGCGGCCGCCGGATGGATTTATTTGGTGGTGTTCGGAGGACTGACCGGATGGGCTATCTTCTTGTACATTTTAATGGCCACACGGTTTTGGTGGGCAGCACTCTTATACGCTGTATACATGTATCTTGACCGGTCTGTTGCGTGGAGTCACCCGAACAGGTGAGCTATGAAATAAACACTATCAAAGGTCGTTCAATGAGTTTTTGGTTAAAACAATGTTATATAATAGTTTGAATCAACATTCGCCGCAATGCGTGAATAAAATACATCTATTGATGTTATTAGAGATACTTGTATTAATATCTCTAAAATTATTTTTTAAAGAATACCTTTTCATACAAAAGGAAGGGTA